GGCCTCTGCGGGTGGCAAGATTGAAAGGCAGGCCAGGGTGGGGTCCAGAGTGAAAAGGAGGTGAAGCCATGGTGGGTTCTGTGGGGAAGGAGAGGAGAGAAACGGGCAGGCGCTGCAGGGGCCCTGGGGCTACCGCCTCAACACTTTTTAAATGGTGACAGCTTGTTTTCTGCTGATGGGAAAGCCTGCTGTGTGTGCAGAGGGCAGAGGTGCACGCAAGAGGTGCTTAAGGAGTAGGCTGAGGGACTGGGATCCGGTGTGCGTGTGTGTGTGTGCGCGCGCGCGCGTGTCGAGGGTACCTCTGGCCAGTGCAGGAGGGGAGGTGGAGCACAGGGCTCAGCGTGGGAAGGTGTGTACTTGGCTGAGACAGTGAGGGACTTTCTGGTTCTTCCCATTTATGTCAACGCAGCAAGAGGCCCCGTCCTGAGCCATGCCTGTTTCTGTGTGTTTCCGTTTGTGTCTGTGTAAGGATGGGTGTCTGTGTGCACGCGTGTGTCTGCATATCTGGGTGCGTTTGAGGATGGGTGTCTGCGTGTGGTTGTGTGTGCATGCATTTGTGTTTGCGTGTGTGCGTTCCAGTTGCGGTTGAGGTTGGAGAAGGCCTGACCTCACCCTGATGGAGCGTGCGGGACAACCCCTCGGGGAAGGTGTGGATGTCACTGCTTTAGGGGCGCTGCAGGTATTTGGGGGATTGGTGCTAACACAGGCCAGTCCCCTGGAGCTGGTGGGTTTGAGAGTAGCCTCTGGAGGTCACCCGAAGATAATGGAGGGAGCCCCTTGACCCCACGGTTGGGAGGAGGACAGAGGAGTGGACTGCGCCTTGGTGAGGCTGGGGACGCGGGGCGCACCCGACCTGGAGCCGCGCGGCCGGAGCGCTGCTGCCACCTGGCGGCCGCGCTGGGGATCCCTAGGCCGCTGCTCGGGAGCGGGGATTTAGCCCCACCTGGCGGCAGAGGACGGCTCTGCGCCTGTGGGCACAAAGGCGAGGGGACCCCGCGGGCCGCTAGGGCGCAATCCCAGCTCCAATTCCTGCGCCGCACAGCTCTGGCCACGCTGCGCTGTGCCTCAGCCTTCCCACCTACACAGTAGAGCGAGGCAGGAGTGACCGGGGCCGCTGGGAGAGGGGCATTGGGCAATGCGCACGAGGCCACAGCATAGCACCCAGCACGAGTGACTCCTGACATACTCGGGCTCCCAGTCCCTTGGTCACCCCCCTTTTTTGGGGGGGTGGGACGGAGTTTGGCTCTTGTTGCCCAGGCTGGAGTGCAATGACACGATCTTGGCTCACCGCAACCTCCACTTCCCAGGTTCAAGCAATTCTCCTGCCTCAGCCTTCTGAGTAGCTGGGACTACAGGCGGGAGCCTCTGCGCCCAGCTAATTTTTTTGTATTTTTAGTAGAGATGGGGTTTCACCATGTTAGCCAGGTTGGTCTTGATCTCCTGACCTTGTGATCATCCGCCCGCCTCAGCCTCCCAAAGTGCTGAAATTACAGGTGTGAACCACTGCGCCCGGCCTTATCCCCACTTTAAACAGCTGGCACGTGCACCTGCCCTTCTCCATGCTCAGCACTCTGTGGGCTGCAGGGTCCCCCAGGCCCATAGCAGAAAGTGGCTCTCTCTGCCCTCTGCTCCCACCCCCGGCCCCCTTTCCTAGCTTCCAGAGCTCCTGGCACCCCGTAGCTGCTCCTCTGCCCCTCCCTTCCTGAGGCCAGCCCAGGGTGAAGGAGGGACAGGAAGATCATCCGCTAGCAGTCCCAACCTGGCCCAGACCCCAGGTGCCCCTCTGCTGCCATCTCCCAGCACAGCCTCCTGTGCAAAGCAAGCCCTGGGCAGTGAGAAGGGCCAAGAAGCAGCTAGGCCAGGGAGGTGGGAAGAACCCAGCTCAGGGCTCCCGAGGCCCCTCCCCGAGCCTGAGCAGGGCAGCCAGGGCTGACACACAGTACTCTCCTCACACCCGGGGGTGGCTCCCCAGGGCACCTGCCTATCCCTCATCCAGGAGTTGGGGTACCCATCAGCTGGGGATTCCCGGAGGCAGGGCCAGCGTTACTTGAACCCAGACTACCCCACTCCCAACTCCCACCCTTGCCCAGTTCTGGATCCCATGGGTCAACACTGAGCCTCTTGTGCCCAGCTCTGTGTCCCCTGGGTTTGTGGAGGGAGTAGAGGAGTGAGGGACATTCCCTGGGTTGGCCACGGGTGCTCCTTGAAGAGGAAAGGGCGGAGAGGAGATGGGGCAGTGCGACAAAGCCGCCTCCAGGACTCAGAACCATGGGTTCCACGGGCTCCTGTCCCTCACCAAGGGGCTCAGTCCTGAGGATAAAACTGGCAAACCCTGGCTGAGAGTGGGGAGGTGATGGGGGACCCTCTTTCCACTGCCTGCCCGACTCTGTCCTGGGCCCTTTGGACAGGCCCCGAATGGGCCACTGAGCTCTGTGGAGACAGTGGGGAGGAAGGGCTTTGGCCACGTCTCAGAGGCCAGAGCTGCCTGGGTTTCCCACCTGACGGTCTGTGTGGACCTTGAATCTCATCTCCCCAGGAGACTCAAGGCCCTTGGGGCTCACTGGCCCCAGGAGGGACCCTAGGCTTTGGGACGTTTGTTCTTGTCACTGCTCAGAGTAGGGCTCCCATCCTCAAGGTCTCAGCCACTCAAGGGCAGAGGCCTGGCGGGGACTTCCCTGGGGCTGCCCTGAGGGCATGGGGCTTGGGCTGTTATTCTCCCAATTCAATGGGCCTCTTCCACCCCTGGCAGCTGCTGGCTGCCCTTTCTGGGGTCTCATCAGTTGGCCCCTCCAGGTGACATCCACAAAATGGCCAGTGAGAGATGGGGAGGGGGTGTACAAGATGCTCCTGGAGACAGGCAGGACTCAGACTGTGCACAGCCCACCTCCCGCATGAACTCGAGCTCACACACAACACACAATCCTCACTCCAGACACACACACCCACCCCACAGCACAGGCCAGACACACACACATACACATGCACACATGCTCACACCCACCGCACAGCACAGGCCACACACACACACACACACTCTTACACCCATCCACCCCCCAGCACAAGCCACATGCACACACATACACACACACACATGCTCACACCCACCCCCCAGCACA